CCCCTTAGCTTGGTATCGATCTTATTTAGTGGTTTATATGGGAATTGTTATGAAAAAAACAGTTGTCACGTGTCAGTTGTGTCATCATGAACGGTTTGTTTTTGATTTGCTGTAGTGAAACTGTGAGTTTAGGCGTGTGGAGTTGTCATGTTGAACTGGAAGTTGACTGTAGACTTGTCTGTCGTTGGTTTGGGAAGAACTGTAAGCGGTAGAGTTCACAGTCTAGAGATCAGCATGGACAGAGATTTGCAGTGAGTGTCAATCCACATGCAAGGCATCGGTGTCGCGAAGCCATTTTCTTTGCTGAGTGTGGGAAGTAATCTCGGTTTGAACTCAATGGAGGATAGTATTCGTCTGTGGATAGCTCTCGCCCCACCACAGATGGAGGAGCTGCGGACGCATCATAGAATCCAGCCAGACATCTTTACCTCCAGGATCGATTTGAGTGCGACTCAAATGCCTCTTGGGCGTGCCACAGATGTTCAATGGTGTCACACTTACAACTACTTCGATTACAGCTTCCTCCAGGTAGAAATAACTGCTCTGGGTTACTTTCGAAAGATGGAGGCAAATGTCTTGGAGAAGGTCCAACCTGGTGAGTTTCGTTGGTATGGATTTCTTGTTCCAGAAGAACGTGATGAGCAGGGAAGATTGCTCTATCAGATCATCGACCCCATGGTTGCTAATGAGCCGGTTCATGAGCGTCCTGCTAGGAACTGAGGAATGCGAGATGATGCGCGGGATGCGCTGTAGTGCCATGTGTTTGTTGCCGTGTGCTTTTGCGTTCAGTAATCATTGCGGAAGGGACTGTCCGAGCAATGGGGAAATAACGCAGTTCGACTGGCATCGTCTGCACGATCGCGCTTCGCGGCTCTTGCTTCGAAAAAGACAGAGTTTAGTGGTGCATCTTTGTGCCAGTGTATCAAAATATTTTCTCTCAAACATTCTTCTATATGAATGCATGTGTTTGAGACGGATCATGCGACAGTGAGAATATCACAACGCGACGCTGCATCTTGCATGACCTGGGTCAGTGAGGCGCAGCTCTCATTCAGAATCAAAACTGGTGTTGTGTTTTGCAGTCAAAAAATCTCAGGACCCGTGTTCTGTTGGCATTCTATTGATTGTGTCGTTCACTACGGCACTACACCAAGGCCACGACCTACGAGTGTTGCTCAATACCTTTGATTTCGTCTGTAACTCAAACTTTTTTTCTTTTTGACTTGGCTTTTGCATTTGGCCTCTGTTGCAAGCATCTGCAGACATTTCACTAGTGAAGCATCATTGTACCGATCTTTTTGGATCATTCTTGTGGGATTGTCTATGCGAAAATGAAACAACAGGTGTCATACGTGACATCATGGTATCGAGCTTTCTGGGATGATTTGCGTGATCAGTAGATGACATCGATTTGAACTTTTTTTGGTGAAAAAAAACAGTGAGATTGTGTGTTGCTCGTGACCGCTTTCTCGTTGCTTGTGTCTTTCGCCATGGAAGTATGCTACTCTGCTTCCGGTGAGCTGGTTGTGTCTCTGCCAGCCGATGTGGTGGAAGGGAAACCCGTAAAGTGGATTAAGGGCAGCATCGCCGTTGCAATTGGCATGTCCCGACATCGACTGAGATTGTTTCTGCACGAGGCATTGCTTGGCGACGCTTACACGTTTACTTGTGCCTATGGACCATTGGTTGTGCAGCTCGTGATTCTGCCGTTTGTGACCCATGATCCGGTGGTCATGTCTGAATTGAACTTGGCTGCCACTGAAAACAATGAAATGACAGTGGAGGAAATGTTGCAATTGCCTTTGGATCCAAACCAGGACGACTTTGATGGTGTGACACCTTTGTGTGCTGCTGCCGAAGCAGGAGCAGCAAGGACTGTTTGCTTGTTAGTGGAAGCCATGGCCGATACCGAGCGGACGGGGCAGCGGCAAAGGACGCCGTTGCATCTCGCAGCTCAAGGCGGCCGACCCTCCGGGCCACCGCCCTTGGGCCGCCCGCGCCCCCCCGCCACCCCCCCCCCCCGCGGCCGCGATTTTGTGGTGAAGCTGTTGCTGGAGGCATCCGCGTCGACAAACACCGCAGATGTATACGGGAGAACGGCGTTGCATGTCGCAGCGTGCAATAACTTCAGCCGGCAGGTTGCACTTCTGCTCCAGCACCGTGCAGCGGTGAGCCCAAGCGATCGATGGGGTCAAACACCTCTGTTTCTGGCAGCGGAAGAAAATGATGTGATTATTTGCAGGCTGCTGCTGGATGCAAGAGCGAATATGAGGGCAAAGGATTGCAACGGGGACACTCCACTGCATGCAGCGGTGCGTGGATGCTGCTATGAGGCTGCCGAGCTTTTGGTCGACTTGGTTGAGGAAACGCCCTTGAAAGTGAGGAGTGCCAAGTGGTAGTTTATTTTTTTTTGGTTGCAAAATCATTGCTGACAGTGGTGCTATAGGAACTGTCCGTGCATCACGCAGCGTGATTCTTCGTGCACAGCATTTTTTTCATTGCAAGCAGTGTGATGCTTCTCGACCTTCCAAGAGTGATAGGGTCTGTCCGTTCTGTCGACGGTCGCAGAAGGCGTGTTGCGTCCTGAAAAATGTGACGATGCACCTCTATTGCTTATTGCAAATGATGTCATCCACGGCAACATGCCATTCTGACAATGACCATGTACAGCATGTCGTGCAATCTGCAATTTCCGAGGTGGCTCTTGCGGCAGTTTGGTACCGGCCTGGGTTTTTGATGGATGTGTTTGGTCTTGGAGTGAGTCAAATTCTCGCACATCGTTATAGAACTGTTTGCCTGGAAACATGTGTGGTATAGTGACGACTTGCGCATTCATCGCTGCACCACGTGAACACAACGTGTCTTGCGCACACATCCGTTGATTTCGGGTCTGTGTTGGTTTGTGCATGTTTTGGGATATGTTTCGGATAGTTGTAAGAACTTGAACTAACTGTTTGTGGATGCTCATTATGAATTGCAGTTGTGTACGTGCACTTCCTTGCCAAGATGTTGTCCTGTCACGGTGTTTGCGTTGATGGCTTCACGGTGTAGGCTCAAATCCATTGACCAATTTGGGCATCATGTGCAAGCAAGATGTGTCAACAAAAACGAAAACAGTTGCATGCAGAATGTCAAACAAGCCACGGTTTTCTGTTGGGACTGTCCGCGAGACCGCGGCTTGTGCAAGAGCCATTGATTTCTGCAACATAGCGTAAAATCACTGCCAAACACGCACTGTTATAATTTGTTTCTCACTTGCCTTCTTTGGTGCTGCATGCACCTATTCGCGGGCCTCTTGTCACCGCGGTCTGAAAACATGTCTTTGCAAGAAGTGACTTTGGAACGCATTACGAAGAGCAACACCCACATGGTCATGGTGGTTTTGCGTCCGGTGTACCATGAAATGAAGCAGTTGCCTGGAAAAGATAAGGGCACCTGGTGGAAGTCGATCGTTCGGCTCGTAGATCAAAAGGGACAGGGACTCTATGCAGAGATCCGGGGATCTTCTGAGAGCGGTGTTCGCAAGCGGGCCCAGGAGTTTTACCAACCCAAATACATCCAATTGACGCAAGCTGTTGTAGTGCAGAATTCACTTTTTTTTTCCGGTTTCTCTGCCGATGTCACGAACAAGGGCAAGGTGTCGCCGGTGGCAGAGGCTCATGCCAGTGCGATGAAGTTGCGCGGCCTTTTCCCCACCGCCAGGTCCAACTTTGGTGTTTTGGCGGAACATTCCGAAGGAAAGGAGAGGGCGGATGTCATTGGAAAGGTGACCCGGAAGGAGACGCCCACGATGAGAGTCCAAAAGATGACATTGTGGCTGAAGGATGAGTCTTTCAACGAACTGGCTGTGTATCTATGGGGAGGGCGTTTTGTTGCCAAGGGCAACGAAATCGATGTTGGCTCGGTGGTGCAGGTGGACAATGCTTTGTTGTCGAAGATCCCTGCCGGCATCGAGGCGAGCTGTGAGCACTGGATGGATAGCAGCAGGAATTGGTTCAGTGCTTTGCATGTCAATCCCACAGGCAGTCGTGTCGAGAAACTGAAGGCTTTGTCCGACACGCGGGGTGAGGCGCTGTCCGTGCCTTGGCTCCAGACATCTCCAGACTGCTTCACGTCGAATGGTGTCGGATGGCATGGAGAAGTTCATTTCGTGCTGCGCCACTGTATCTTCGTGCTCTCTGGCGCTTACGGATGCGATGTTAGAGGCCGCTGTGTCGCGCTGAACTAGCTTGTAATGAACACACTTAGTCCGTGTGATTGGGAGTCTTTCTTTGTTGATTGCTTGTTGTGTTTTCCCTTTCTTTATCATTATCTGTTGTCAGGCACAGCAAGAGATCATCGAAGTGCAGTTGAACTGCGTTTGGGTCACAGGCATCTTGGGGGATCCCATCTACACGGCATGCAAGAATTGCGCGACGAAGGTTGATTTGATGACCGGGCATTGCAAACGTCATGAAAGTCACAATTGCCAAACGATTCGAGAGGAAGAGGTATCCATCTTGGCCACAGTGACTTTGGCAGATCACACCGGTGAAGTTGACAGAGTCTTGGTGGATGGGGACAGGTTGCGGTTGCTGGCAAATGCCAAGAGCAAGGAAGATCTGGTCGCCCTCTTGACGAAGCGTGGTCCGCAGGCCGTGTGCTTTTGTCATCCAGTGGACGTCCGCTTGGCTACCAATGGCCGCAAGCTAGGCGGCGGCAGATCCAACTTGCCTGCTGCTGCGCAGGGAGTCCTCCAGTCGCAGGAGACGGATCAGGAGAATTTGCCCGAGTGTCAGTTTCAGGTGCTCGCCGCACAGCACGCTCTCTGCCAGAGGTATTCGGATGCACAGCGTCCGATGATCAAGAAGGTAGTTCGAGTGGAGAATCAGAGGGCGACGGGAATGGTGTTTCCGATCGCTTGCCCTCATGAGGACCTGTTGTTCTCTGGCTTTGGTACCAAGCTGCGAGCCGCGGCAATCTTTCCCAGCTATGTCACTGTGTTGGTGCGGGCAGAAGATGAGGAAGCCAAGATCGTTGAGACGGGCACGGGGGACGACAAGGTCATCATGCTGCAGTATGAGAAGGTGGTGGCAGTGGAGGCGTCGTTTCCCAAGCATTTCCGGGTGGAGGCCTTTTGCCAATTGCAGCAGGCGATTCGCTTCAACATGTGTGATGGCAATGTGCATCCTGTCATCGGCAAGGTGACGGCGGAAGATGATGGCTCCGACATGGTTTTGGTTACGGAAAGAGTCTTCAAATTGCAATCGGAGGAACAGGTGAAAGCGATCATGGCCGAGCGTGCCGCCATCGCAGCTGTGCAGATGATTTCTTCGAAAAAAGACACGCCGTCGACTTGGTTGAGGAAACGCCCTTGAAAGTGAGGAGTGCCAAGTGGTAGTTTATTTTTTTTGGTTGCAATATCATTGCTGACAGTGATGCTACAGGGACTGTCCGTGCATCACGCAGCGTGATTCTTTGCACCACGGCTTTTTTTTATTTCAACCAGCGTGGTATTTCTGGCTAGGAAAGATCCATGCTGTGGAGGGTCGCAGAAAGTGTGTTGCGTCCTGAAATGTCTGTTAATCACAGAATTTTGACGGGCTTGATGCTTCAGGGACTGTCCGTGCATCGAGCGAAAAAGCAATGAAAATGGTGCTATCCGTGCCATCATGATAAGCATTCGTTTGCGTGCTTTTGTTATTCTTTGTTTACAGTTTCACCGTACAGAGAAAGTCGTGCAACTGAGGTCACAGAGCAGTGTGTTGCGTCCT